CGGCTGGATTCCTCTTCCCTGGTTCCAAGCCCCTCCTAATCTCAGTTGCTTAAAGTTTAAGGAAGAACTTCTAAGGGAAAAGGGCACCTTAGACACAACTTCTGGATTGATTAACTGGGAAAAAACATAAAAGAAAAGTGCTTGCAGGCTGAGGAATTAAATATTTCTTCTTTGCACTGTCGCTTACACAACAATATAAGGGCTCTATTTTTAAGTACTCCTTCCACCCCCGGCCATTTGGGATACAGATATCCCTATGGGGTCCTAGAGAGGATTTGCCCTGCATTGCAGGGCATCTCTTACTGCGTTCAGAGAAACGTGCTCGGAATTGCACTAAAAACCTCCCCTGGAGCAAAGGAGCTGAATCCAAAGTCTGCACGGGTGCCTGAGATGTGGGAGCCCCTGCCCTACTGCAATGTGGAGCGACAGAAAAACTGCAGGAAAAAAAATGCAAAATAAAAACAAAATAAAAAATACCGGTTTCCTAAACATGAATCAACGCCTGGGATCACAGCAAAACTCAGGAGCGCCGATGCCATGACCGCTGTGACAAAGGAGGTATTAGAGGAATGAAGGTGCTCAGGGAACACCTGCGGGGTCTGGTGTCTCTTTTCTGGCACTAGCCTAGAGAACGAAGGCTTAAAGTTCCCCTGCTATTAGGGGCAAGAAACTTTATTACGGATTAAAACAATAAATGGGAAATTGCATCCCCCACGCTGAAACAGTAACCCATTCTACTGCTGTCCCAGTAAGGAATGTATTAGAAAACAAACAAATCTGCCAAAAACATCACTACCGCTGTAGCCCTGGAATTCCCATTGCTGGAAATAATTCACCTGACGACAACAGCGTTCTGCTTACACACTTGCTCACACACTTGTTAAAGCAGAGGTGGCGGGAATGGGATATATAAGGAGATATTAAGAGCATCTGCCCCTCAGCCGGTGGCATCTCCAACTCCCTTGAGGAGATGTCGGAAGAAAAGAGTTTTCCCAGGGGCTGCGCTTCACTTCCAAAGAGCCTCCCCGGCTTCCTCCAAAGAGCCCCCAGCTCTGCAGATTCCTGGAGACTTCCCAGGACTTTCACCCCGCTCTGTCCCAACGCGGATCCGCGCGGCCGCCTCCCCGCCGGGC